TCCCAAGAGGCAGATCCCAGGGCAGCAGGAGGATTCTGCCCAGCCATGCACCAGTATTTTCTGGCACAGCATCCCCACTTTCCAGCCTGACCAAGCCAGCATGTGTGGAACAGACCTGTTGGAAAGAAAAACCTCCTGCAAAATGGAAAATGCGCAGAGGAGCAGCTATTTTTACAAGGGACAGTACCCACTGCTGCTGTGAAGTCCATCACAGAATTGGTCAGTGAGGGACTTCTGACAGCTGACAGCCAGGAGAAGCAGCTCCAGCAGCCCAGCAAGAAGAAAATGGGAGCTTTTAGGTACCAAGAAGAACATGCTTTCAAATAAGGAGAAGAAGGTTGTCCTCTGGTGCCCTGGGCCTTCAGTGGATTGGGAACAACAATCCTTGCTGTGGTTGCCAACGTGCTGGGAAGGGGGGTGAGATGCAGATAACCCTCCAGGGCACAGAATGCTGACAGCAACCAGCACTTCAGCCACTTATTCCCCCTCCTAACCCAGCCTATCTTTATTGCCCAGACTCTGCTGAGGTTTTCCTGCTTCTAAAAATATTCAGCCTCTAATTAAAATGCCTATCTTGCCTGCCAGGGCAAATGTATCTGGCCCCAGAGCTCAGCTGGGCCAGGAGACAGACAGAGTTTGCAGCTCACCAGCCTGGCTGCCTTTCCTGGCATGGGTGGCTGGGGTGATGTCTCACACCAGGATTTTCATACAATCCTAGAATGGTTTGGGTTGGAAGGAACCATAAAGAACATCCAGTTCCAGCCCCCCTCCCACTAGATGAGGTTGCTCAGAGCCCCATCCAGCCTGGCCTTGAACACCTCCAAGGCTGGGGCAGCCACAGCTCCACTAGGCAAGCTTGGCCAGGGTCTCACCACCCTCACAGTGAATGATTTCTTCCTAATGTCTGACCTAAATCTCCCCTCTTCCAGTTCAGTCATTATCCCTTGTCACCACATGCCCTTCTGGAAGTCCCACCCAGCTTTCTTGTAGGTGCATCCCGCTGTGTCATCAAGCTGACAGCAGCTTCAGGAAGCTGGCATGAGAGCCTCCTCAGTTTTTCCAAGCCTGAGGCCATCGTGTGCCTTTTCCTCCTCTGTGGGGACCTTGGTGCTGCATTCCAGGTGTCTGGTTCCCATGGCAGAGAGGGACACGTGTGGGTGATGTGGGAGCTCGTTCTGCCATTGGAGCTTCTTCCCATGCAGAGGCCTTTGGGCTATTAAATAATAAGGGCTATTTAAGTGATAGAAGTCAGTAGCAGAATGAGAGGAAGGTAAGGCAAGGGGGCAAGGGAGAAGGTCCAACACAATGCTTGAGCATCACACAAATGGGGCATTCACATGGCAGTGAGAGAAACCACCTTCAGATCTGCTGCTTTCTGGACAGTGTCCAACCCCTGGGGCAGCAGGACAGTCTCCACCTCTCTGAGATTGTTGTCCCAGGGCAGGAGGGATCCCATCTAGATGGAGCCCCAGAAGGAGAATGGTGGTGTAGCCTAAAGTTCACAGCATGCAATAGTGGACACCAGCTGAGCATCTCTAAGGGTTGGTGGTGGCTTTTCCTCTATGTTCCATTACAGTGTTTGGAGCAGGTTCTGGCCTCTCCTGGAGATGTCTAGCCCCAGGTTGCATCTGAACTACCCCCAGGTTACAGTCTGACTGAGCTTTGCATGCAGTCCTGGAGGCCAGGGCAGTTTGGGGAGGCACAGAAAGCCACCAGACTCTTCCAGGCATCCTGCAGCTGGATGGAGTTCTTTCAGGTTTGGGAGCACCAGGACCAACACAGCTGCTGGGGGCAGTTTCCTCACTGGGGCTCTGGTTGCATCACTTTCTACACAGCCCTGAGAAGTGCTTAAAATTAAAGTTGCTATTTAGGAGCAGGCAAAACCCTCCTGGGGTGTTTCTACTTATTTGGTTGCAATGACTGTGTGTTTTTAACAACCCCTACAGGAGCTCCTCAGAGAACAGTGCTGAGGTTAGACACGTGTATCTCACCACCCAAAGCTCTGTGGTCTGGCACTGTCCAGCTTGCCATGGACATTCCTTCCTCCCACCCTCATGGTCATGGCTCCCCCCACATCACCCACTCTTCAAATCCAGCCTCTCAACACCAGCAGACCATGTCCCAGATTGGCCAAATCCATGAAGAGATTCCCCACCATCTCTGCCAAGCTTTGGAGAAGAACCTGGAGCAGGAAATTTGCTTCAAGTACTTTTGTGCTGCTTCACTGCCATGTGTCCATCATTTTCTTCAAGTCAGCCAGTGAAACCCTCCAGCCTTTCTGCCCCTGAGGAGCCCAGCAGACCAACCCCAGCAGGACAAATCCTGCCCCCAGACTGGAGATACAACACCCATGAAGCTGGTGGGGCTGAGCAGAACAAGCAGAGAAGCCTTGTTGCACTTCAACCCCAACTGCTGCCCTCCCAGCACCAAGGCAAGAAATCCAGGGGGGATCTGGCTTGATTCTCCTCCAAATCACTTTATTGTCTTGTGAGTAAATCACAAAGCCTGACAAGGCTGCAGAGGTTCTTCAAAACAAACCAACAAACACAGCGACAGGATTTGCCAGCTTTTGCTAAGGCCTGAGTGAGATCACACAAGGAATTCTTGCAGTCTTCTTGGATGGTCACATCAGCTTTTTAGACCGAGCAAAGTGGTGCAAAGACAGTAACTTTGACAGAGTGTGATCCCTGCAACGTTTTGTCTGGGCAGACGTGGACAACCCAACCATTTCTTTTTGGTTTGGTTTGAATTGCATTTTCTGCCAGCAGAAAACAATTCTCTTCCATAGGCAAGATCCACAAAAAACCCACCCCCTCCCTCCCCAGCTGGCCCCCTTGGCTGCTGTTCCCATTGCCTTTTTAAAAAATATATGTCTTGTGTCTGTGAAGAGTGGGCTCAGTAGTGGGGGGGAGGGAGGGAAACCCCCAGCACTGCAAGAAAGGGTTAAAATACCACCTGAAGGTCCCTGATCAAATCATTGTGAAGGAGATGGATGAAAACCATAGAATCATCGAATCATCGTGGTTGGAAGAGACCTTGAAGATCATCAAGTCCAGCCATAACCTAAATCCCCTCTACCATAACCTGATTTCCCCATTCAGTGCTTAAAAATGTGGGAGAAGAATTTAGAGTATCCAAAGCGAGGTGTTGACTCTGGCTTTATGGGCTCAGTGGGTTTCTACCATCCCTGGAGGCAGCTACAATAGGGTTTCCATTTGGAAAGACCTTTGGGGGTGGGAGAATGAAGGCTGAGAGCCTCCCGACCTTGAAGATCATCAAGTCCAGCCATAACCTAAATCCCCTCTACCATAACCTGATTTCCCCATTCAGTGCTTAAAAATGTGGGAGAAGAATTTAGAGTATCCAAAGTGAGGTGTTGACTCTGGCTTTATGGGCTCAAGTGGGTTTCTATCATCCCCGGAGGCATCTACAATAGGGTTTCCATTTGGAAAGACCTTTGGGGGTGGGAGAATGAAGGCTGAGAGCCTCCCAACACTCCCAAAGAGGGCTGTGGGATAGGTCTATATCTGCATCACCTTTGCCTGGACCTCCCTAAACCAGCTTCAAGCACTGAAGGTTGCCCTGATGCAAGGCTGGGTTTGGAGACCAATCTGCAGCCCAGCCTGAGCAGGACCCCCATCCACAACATCCCTTCCCATCCCCAGGACAAAATGTGATCAGACCTCAGCAGACACCTCCATTAAGCAACTCATTGAAGCAAGTTGAAGGCTTCATACATGGCATTGAGTCAGGCTGTGCTGCTTTCCCCCACCTTCTCCTAGCCTGGAGAAGAAGAGGGGCAAGAGGGGCTCCTCTTTGCTTTGCTAGCACTTCAACCATGGAGGAAAACATGAGTAAACCTCTGAGGACCAGGCTTTTCATCAGATTTCAGCTGACAGCCAAGGAGCTGTGTGAGAGAAAGGAAAACCACCAGTCTGGAAAAAAGCCAACTGAGATCTTTCCTCTGATAGGCCAAGTGCTCCAGGGTCACAGGCATCAGTGTTAATTCCTCCCCAGCACATTCTGGAAAATGTTGCAAGCCCAGCTGAGTCAGAAATGTGTTCAGATGAGGAACACCAGCATGCAAACAGCTTCATCTCACATCCTCTGTGTCCACATCTTGGTTTGATCAGGTCATCAGGACCTGAATCCCTATCAAAATGTTCTTCCAAGCTTCTCCAGAAATAGAGGAGGGAATTGGTATTTATTTTTTGAGCTACATGGTCTCTTCACTTTGCAGCTCAGATCTTTGCCTTCATCAGAGGCTGGTTCCTGGGTGAGATGTGGCTGTTGGCAGACCCCTCTTCTTCCCTTGCTCTGCTGCACATCATCTCTGAGCTATGGTGAAGAAGACAGGAAGTTGCCAAGGTTAGACCTGGGGTAAATTTGACATGAAAAGGATCGAGATGGGAAAACAGGGAGAAAATTCTGGGAAAAGTTCTCAACTCAGAGTTCACCACACGCCTATGCAAAGATCATGTAAAAACCAGCACATTAGGAACACCCTGTTTTCAGGTTTGTCTGGAAATGTTTCTTCAAGACTGAAAGTGCACGACAGGGAACAGGGTGCTGCTAATGAAGGCAACATCCAGAAGGCACTTTGTGGGCAATACTGATTTAAAAAAAGGAGGATGCATGGGTTGGTAAGGAAGAAGCTCTGGGCAGACGTAGCTTTGCTTCTACAACGTGTCTGGGGCACAAAGGTTTGCTCCAGATGGGCTGTTCTACCCTGGGACCTGCAGAGCAGTGTGGTCCCCATTGTCCAACATCACCTTTCTTGAGCTCCTGGGCTGTGTGCAGGACCTGAATGCACCGGGCAAAGTCTGGAGCCTGCAGATGAAGTTGGGTCAAGGATTTAAGAGTTTATAAAATCCACAAACAGTCGAGTGTTGGCACATACAAATATATAAATTAGGGACAGTTTTACAAAAGGCACAATCCAAGCCACCTCAGTCCGACATCTGTACAAACCCTGTGGCCTCCCCACCCTCCCTTCCCCACCCCTTCTCCCCAGCTTTCATCATGAAACATAAGGTGCTGCTGCTACAGTCCCGTGGCTGTCGTGGCAACTCAGGACCTCTTTTTTGGTCAGCCCTATCTGTCGGTGGAACTGTCCTTCTTTGATGGTCTTAAGACACTGGATGTTCTTCCCCAAGGTGATGCTTTTGATGGAAGGCAGGTATTTCAGCACAGTCTTTGGCAAGGTGGACATACCTGTCCCAGAGAGGTTGAGCTCTTGCAGGGAGTTCAGACCCAAGATAACTTCAGCAGTCAACGACTTCAGGTTGGGATTGTTGGATAGATCCAGAACTTGGAGAGCTGGTAGTTCCTTGAAGCTATAAGGAGATAACTCTCCAAAGCCAGGCAGGCCACTGAGGGATAAATGAATCAAATCTTTCAGCCCCGTGAAGTCTCCTCTTTCAATCCTGCCTAGAGGGTTCCCATCAAGATTTAAGTATCGGAGAGGAATGCCCTGAAGGTTTGGCACAGTTGTGAGCCTGTTGCCAGAAAGGTTTAAGTTCTGGATGTTGGGAATGCTCTTCTCACGGTGCCTCGTGATTGTCCCGAGCATATTATTGGATAGATCCACGTTCAGGGGTTTTCCCTGACCTTTGGAAGCAAAAATGTCCATTGCTATATCCAAGAGCTTGTTATTGCTCAAATCGATGTCACCCAGAGGAGAACTGGAGAAACAATCCTCTGGAAGGACTTCCAGAGAGTTATGACTCAGATCCAAGGACTCCAGGTACCGAAGCCTGGAGAAGGTTGTGGGGGAAATCTTGGCAATGTTATTGTAGCTCAGGTCAAGGCTGACCAAGGTGGTGTATCCAGGGCCTGTAAGCATTGATTCATTGATTGTTTCCAGCTTGTTTGATGATAGATCCAAGTAGGATGTATCCAGGGGGATTGGGACAGGAACAATGTGTGAGCCTATTCCACTGCAGTCCACCTTGGTCAAGCTGAAGCTGTCAAAGAGACCAAAGCTTTCCACCTCACAGTGGCAGCCAGGGAAGCAGGTTTTGGTGGTACCAAAACAAGGAAGGAAAAGCAGCAAATTGAACCAGGCCAAGAACTGCATTGTTGACCTGGAAAACAAGAGGAGAAGAAAATAGATTTAATTGCACTAGAAATCACTTTGCTGAAGGTGTGTAATGGTTTGAGTCATGCAGTCTTCTCCAAAGGGATAGATTAAGTCTATCCTTAAATAGCATGGATGTCCCAAACACTTTGTCTCTAATATTGTGAACCCCAGGGGGAACTTAATGGAGAAAAAGAGTGGGTGAAGAGTCTTTGCAGATATAAGCAAGTTAAGACACGACTGGGAATTAGCTGGAAGAACAGTGGGCTGCCTCAAAGGAAGATCTGTCCAACTTGCATCATTTGAGTAGATCATGGAAGAAGCTAAACGACAGCTCAAACACTTGAGTCCTTGCACAGTGTCATGACAAAGCTCAGCACACAGAGGTCTTTGTGTCAGGGCATCCATGTGAGATTTGGATGTTAAAGATTCTGCACTGATAGGATCAGTGCTCAGTGGGGGCCTCAGGCATCCAAAACAATTCTCAGGGAAGGACAAACCAAAGCTCTGTTCAAATTTCCTGCAGATGACACAGGTGATGGCATCATCACAGCATCCTTCAGGCTGACCAGCTAGAAAGGCCACCTTCCAGTCTAACTCAGGCTCTGCTGTGGTGGGCCCAGCCTTCTGCACAGGCATTGAGTGGGAAGAGACAATTTGTTTCATATGAGCCTCTGAGAAGCTTTGGCTAATGCCATTAACTATTCTCTCTGATTATCAATGCTAGCAAGCAAGGAGCTCTCTCCACCCCTCTGGTTTTGACCCTCCTCCAGCTGAGACGTTCCTGTCTCTCCATTGTTGCAGCCAAGGGAGGAAGAGGGATGATCTGCACCTCTCTGGCTTTGCTGAACCTCTTCAGATGGCATCCTAGCAGCTCCTCAGCAGAACTGTGGGCAACAGCAGTGGCTGGTCAAGGGCCACCCAAAAAAGCTTTAGCTCTGCATCCCTGGAGAGGGTAAACTGGACTGTGCCAGCATCCTGCAGGTCAGCAGAGGCAGCAAGGGCTGTCCTTTCTGCTTCTCACTGCAGTCATAGGTGATAATTCTCCATGCCTTACAAACCAGGTCTCCAGGAGGGCTGGCAACAAAAAAATCCCACCAAACCAGACAAGCAGATCTATCAGCATTGCTCTCTGGCCACCCTGCTGGTGAGAAACAGTGACTCCCTGCCAAGCACTCAGTGAGCCAAAAAAAAAAGAAAGCAAAAATTGTAAATCCCCTTTAAATGCACATTCCCATCCCCACCTCAGCCCCCCCTGGTCTCTCTCCTCACCTTTCCCTGTTTAAAAGCACTTTATCAACTTCCTTGCAGTATCATCTTTCCCACACACACTTTGATCTGGCTGAGACACCTTCCCTGCTGCCCTTGCACCTTCCCAGGACCATTTCCTAGAAGTTCACACATCACCTTCCCTCACCCACCCTTTGGAAGCAGTTTCTCTCCCTTTCCAGCCCTGACCTTGTGCCTCTTTCCCAGGAGGTGGCTCAGGGACTTCTTGCCAATGTGCAAAGGGAAAAAAAAAAAACAACCAACACTGCAAAAACATTGTCCTGATCACTGAGACAACTTGTCTGGTGGTAACTTCCAGACCTCCTGCAAACAGAGAGCAGGGACTGGGACTCTGGCCAAAGTGCCAGCAACCAAAGCATTGCTGAAGGCCAACACACAGTCCTCTAGGGTCCATTACTCTATAGAAACAACAGAAAATCAGTAAGATGAGCCCTAATCCCAGCCCATCTCAACTGTTTCTTGAGAAAACACGTGTGTGTGTGTGTATGTGTGTGTGTGTGTGTGTGCAGAGGGGACCTGGGGTAGAGCTTCTTTCTGCAGACACCTTTCCAGATATCCTTTCCCTAATGATATCAAGGCTGATCTCCTCTGGTTCTGTGCAGACAGACCATAACTTGCTCCCTTTCTGCAGCCCCTCCTAAACTAAATACTATTTATATATATATATTTTACATATATATATATTTATTTATTTATTTTTTTCAGGAAGCTGCATTTGGGACACACTGAAATGCTTTATTACCAGATGAAATTCCAGCAGTGGGGAGCTCTCTGGAAACTAAAAAAGCAAAAAAACCCCAGATGTTAAATATCTCACGTACAGGGAAGAACCTGCATTAGTGTCATCTCAGTCTCCTTTTATTTCTTCTCCCACTTCCCACCTGGTGGCTATTCCCAGGTGCTGTCTCAACAGGGAAAGTGCCTCTTAACTTCTCCTTCAAAGGTCCAGCTCAGTTTCTCATGGCATTCTGGTGGCTTCAGTAGGAGCTGGATCAGACCCCAGCAGATCCAAAGACACACCAGGGTGAGACTTGGCTTTCTGAACACTAAAACCTTCATGGGCTCCTGCTGGGCCACCTAAAGAAGAGCAAGTGAGCAATCTCCAAAGACCTATTTTAACTGGGAACTGGCTTTTTAACAGGGCCTGTAGTGATAGGACAAGGTGTAAGGGTTTGAAACTAAAAGAGAGGAGACTCGGACTAGATAAAAGGAAGAAAATTGTACTATGATAATGGTGAAACACTGGCCCAGGTTGCCCAGAGAGCTGGTGATTGCCCCATGCCTGGAACCATTCCAGGTCTGGTTGGATGGGGCTCTGAGCAACCTGATCTAGATGAATGGAAGGAGGTTGGACTAGATGAGCTCCAAAGGTCCCTTCCAACCCAACCCATTCTGTCATTCTACAATTCTGTGAACTGAGAGCAGCTCTGAAAGCCAGTGCTGGGCTTCAACGGGCAGCTGCTCAAACTCCTTTTGATGTGAGAATTCCCTTCTCCATCAGCCTCAAAAATGCTCTCCAGAAGTGGGTAAAGGCAGTGACTCCCACTGCAACACCCAGGGCTCCAGCACCTCCAGCAGCAAGGACAGAAATGCAGCACACAAAGCTCAGCTTAAGTGTCTGCACAGCATCTATTGCCTCTTCCCTCCTTGCAGCACTGCCCCAAACTCTCCCTCGCTGGCTCTGCAATTGCATTGCAGATGATGCAATCCTTTACCACCAGTTGCAAACTCCCTTCTGAAGCAGCGTGTAGCGTTCACGGGCTAACGAGCCACTTGGTTAATAGCTCTGATAAAAATAGGTGAAAAATAAAGGTACTGGTCATCTTCCAGTCCAAGGAAGAGACTCCTGCATTGCCAGAGCAGCAATGAAGGGCTTGGTCAGGTACAGACATGCTTTCTGAGGGCATGGAGCAGCCTTTGAAATGGGGAGAGAAACACGCCGCAGGCATTTAGAGTTAATCTGCCTTCAGTGTGCATTCAAAACCACATCAAATTGGCTTTGGATTCCTGCCTACGAGCTGCTCTGTTGACAAAGGCAGGAAGCCAAGGCATCCCCTCATAAAAGGAAGATGAGTTATCCTCCTGCAGTGCTGAGAAATTCACCTGGAAGAAACCCCACTGGCCAGGAAGCACCAGCACCATCATCTGGGATGATGAGGGGGAAAAAGCCACTGGGAGAAAGCAGCCCACTCTTGGGCTGGTTCAGCACTAACCTCTTTGTTTCTGTGGCTGTTGTGGTGTGGAGAGGTCCCAGGGGGAATTTTTGGTTCTCTGACAGCTCTAGGGGGTATGTTAAACCCACTGTTTCCAATGGGAACTGCTGGGGGTGCAGCATTGTCCCCCATGTTCCAGGTGTCCCCAGTGGCTGCAGGACCCTGGTCTTTATATCTTGCTCCTCCTTTCTGCACAGCAAAGATCCTGAGACAACCCCAAGGTGGTGGGTAGCAGAGCCAAGGCTGGACCAAGCTCCTAGCAAGGTGGCAGCCTTCTATCCAAACCCCACACCTCTCCCTGAGCCTGCAGGTGCCCCAGTGACTCCTTCCTGCTCTGCTCATCCCCTGCACCTTCACGTGGCAGGATCCGGATTGAAACCTCACGCTGAGAATCCATTGGAATGGAAGGTCATCCAGGCTTGTGCTCTGCCTGCTTCAGACCAGCTCTTCCCTGCAGAAGGAGCCCCCAAATGTGAGCAGCAAAGAGCTGTGTTTACCCCCTCTAAAAGCTTATTAACCCAATTAGTGCTTCCTCACAAAGGAGTTTTGGTGTGAACAGGAAGAGGTCTGCTCCATTTGTTGGTTTTTTTTGTTGTTGTTTGCTGGTTTGGGGTATTTGCTCTGCAAATATCACTCCTGGTTTTATACTCAGTGTTTGCGACTTCTTGGATTTAGGGAGAAGAGAATCCAAGGAGTATCTTCTGTTTAGGTTTGACCTTGCACCTGCTTGGCTGGGTTTGGGGGAGCTCAGGGGGTTACTCTGAGTGTCAGTGCCAGCAGAATGAGAATTAAGCCCTTGGCCCTTCTAAATTCAGCTCCATTTCATGGAGCCATTGGACAAGTCCCTTCTGGGTGATAAGTTACCACCTTTCACACTGATGGTTTTATCAGTGGGTAGAGCAAAGCTGCTTAGACAGCAGACCCATCCCCAGTTACCCATCAGGGTACAAAGAAGGGGGTGTACAACCCAATTTTCTCCTTCTCCTTACCCTATTTCCCCCACCAACATGTGCAAGCACCAGAATGAGGGGCAACCCAGCCACTGGGACAGTGGCCATGGCCCTTATGGCTCAACACAAAGTGGAACTGAGGTCCTGAACTGGAGCTCAAATATTCCTGAAGGTGCCTGAACACTTTTTGCTCCATCTTCCCACTTGCTGGGGGAAATTGGAATGAAATGCAGGAAATGAGAATTAAAAAAAAGAAAATGAATTTTAAAAAAATCTCTATTAATTCCTTTCTGCTTTAATGATTTCTAATAATGGATGTAAAAGCATCTCCTTAGCATTCAGTCAAGAGTCCCACCACTGAAGGGGAAGTTGTTAGCAAGTAATTAACCCAGTGGTATTGGGAATCTACTGTACTAGGCTATGGAAGAAGAAAAGACAATAGGCAGCAAGCTGGGAATGGAAAGAGAAAGTCATTTCTCCTCCCCCAGTGCAGGGAGGTGGTTGGTTTGGGGGCAGAGCAAGGGGGCAGAGCTGGGGATGGGTGGGCTTA